CACCGACTCTGAGGGGTACGGGACTTGGTGGAGTGTTCCCAAGGAAAGCGTTCACCAAACCCAACAGGAAGAACCTGGGAACTATTCCCTATACCTAAACCAGGGAAACTGTAGAATATATGCTGGAGAAAGGCGAGGGGTGAGTGCAGTGCGTGCAATCAACAAGCACCAGGTGCCAAAAGGGAAGCTAGGGAGGAAACACCTGCTGCCCAAGGCGAGCAAGAGGCAGCCGTTTCGATTCTTGCTTGTTTTTTCCTTTGTGAGTGGGGAAACCAGAGGTAGGCCTGTACACAGTGTAAAACCGACGCCCTAAGGAGGGAAGGAATCAATCACAGGCTTTTGTAGTAACCCTAAAAGTGAATGGGGGGAGTGCCTGGATCTGTTCTCCTTTGTATCTTAAGTAAAAGAAACCTGGAGGGAGTTTGAGGGGGGTGGGGACAACGACTCATCCGGGCCCAGGTGAACAAGCAGGACAAGCTCAGCAGGAATGCTTCAATCAGAGCCTCAAGCAGTCTGAGGGGGAGGAAAAATGCAAACCAGGAGCTTCAGGGCCTGACTTAGGTGTCAGCAGTGGCCCTGGAGCACAGTTTCTGAGGTCTGAGTTCTGCATAATAGGCTACTCTGAGCAAGCCAGATTTCACTGGCTGGGCCATTTTGGAATTCAGAAGTATCTGGAATCCTTACAGTCCACTCATCTCAGTACCACAGCCTCACTCTCTCCAACATCCTGCTGTACCTGACCCTCTGCATAAACCTGGGCTCCCACCACCCATCTCTTACACCTAAGACTGGGGAACAGGAAACCACAGGCTGCTCAGGGGGTGACTTTTCAGAGAACACTGCCATTTGATTACGCGATACCCTCAAATCTCAGACCCTCCTACCTGCAGGCTTCATTAAGTTTTGCAGAGGACGCCTAGGTATGTGCTTACCGAGTGCTTGTGTTCACTAGCTTGTTCCAACAAGACACCAGGATTTACGTACAAAGTAGGGAGTGTCATAAGGCTCCGGTAGGCAGGTGAGGAGTTAAAATGGTAAGGAATCACTAGACATTGTCACCCTGCCCTCCAGGCCTGTCCCCTTGACCTCTCTGTACTGTCCCAGCATCTCTGCAGAGTTCAGCAGAACCCTATTCTACAGAGAAGTCTGAGGCTTTGGGTAAGTGTAAATTTTCTGTTAAATCGTAAGTCATAGTCAGACTTTACATTTAGGCATTCCAGCTTTCAAACCTAGCACCCACCTGTCCCTGAGAACTGCTGAGATGGCTCTGTGCCCATGTGACAGGAACACAGTGGGGCAGCAGAGAAATCTTGACAGCAGCAGTTGGAATCCTGCCCTGAAGTAGAGGAAAGGGCTGACACATCAGTGAAGCGGCCTGTGTGTGGGTGTGGTATGTGTATGCCCACCATTTCCAGTTTAGCTGACTGCAGAGACTGTGACAGGAAACTCAAGCCCATGCATGCATGTGCCAAGAGAATGCCACTGGTTTTCTACACCTTGGCCCTCTTTTTACTTCCCATAAAAAGGGATTGAGGGACTTACAGCCCTTACACTTAGTGCCAAAGTGTGAAGAAAAACGACCAAGTGTAACCTCCCTAGAAGTGTAAAAAGTTGGGAAACTGGTCCATAGATCCAAAATATAAGGAGCTCCAATCACCATCCTGGATAATAACAGGTACTGGAGATGGGGAAGAGTGAGCAGCCCAGGCCTTCTAAGGCAGTTACCCAGGAAACAGGTCAGGAGAACACAACTCCCCACCATGTCCATCTCTGAAGTTCTTTGTTTAAACTCCAAGATGATCCTCAAACACAAGAAGACTACCCTGCCCCCAAGAAAGGATACAACATAGAATTGGGATGGGATGAGCTTTTAAACAGGAGTAATAGACAGCATTTGGTCTAAGCAGCAACAAGTATCAGTACTGGGCCCTGGGCTCTAGAGGTTACATCAGGGACGAACTGAAGAAATGGGAGCTGGGTGTCTAGACTCTGGGGATCTAGAGCCTGGGATCAGATTATGTGCAAATGGAAAAACCAGGAAGATCTAGTCGCAGGATAACAGAGAATTAAAAGGTAATATGCTTGCCTGCCTACTCTACTACCACCAAAAAGGAACTAATGAGCAAAGTAAAAACTATCCCAGGAAATGGCTCCTCAGAAACTTCAGCCTAGACACCCCTAAGTGTTTGCAGTTTGGAAAGGATTCATGCTCTGAATTTGTGACAGATCTTTACTTAAAACCGTAAGAGGAAGCAAACCAAAGTGTTAAGCTCATGTTTTCGTTTCCTTTATCATTCCTCCTAACATGTCTGTCCCAAACCACATAACGATACAGAAACTCAGCTCATTAACAATAGACCACTGAGCAATGCCTATGCAATCTTTTCATTAGCCACCTCCAATTCCTTTTAGAATAAAGGAAGGTCTAAATAACTTCAGTTTAAAATCCCCACACAATGTGTGATTAAATTCATCACGAGTCCTGGCTAACGGCCTGACACACTTGAGTGTGGTACCCTAGCAATCTGCTGGCCCTGTGAGAAAGCTTGAGAGGAATGTCTGGCAGAAGAGTCGGCAGTGCTCTGGCAGGTGAGAACCCTAGCTCACACTAAAGAGGAAATGACTTACCAGGGAGGCTGTCAGGGCCCAGTGTCTCTCCCTGGGGAACCTTGTCTGAAGCTGTAAGGCAACTCAGCACTCAGCTGCACAAGTGCTGTCAGCATATGCCACACCCTTTAGGTGAGCTCTTCCTGCTCAGGGCTTCTGGAGCTCCTCCTCCAACTAGGAAAACAGCCCGTGGTGGCGCATGCCTTTAGTCCCAGCACTCAGGAGGCAGAGCCAGGCGGATCCCTGTGAGTTCGAGGCCAGCCTGGGCTACAGAGTGAGTTCCAGGAAAGGCGCCAAAGCTACACAGAGAAACCCTGTCTCGAAAAAACAAAAAAAAAACAAAACAAACAAAAAAAAACCCTAGGAAAACAATAACAATCCCCACACTCTTCCTTAGAGTGAGGTAAGCCAGATAACAGCCTGGACACTTTGAATAACATTAACACTAGTCAGTGCAACTCAACTCCTCAGTACTTTGGGTGCTAAAGGCACTCACAGGCCAGCAGGGACTCCGCACAGGATAAGGAAAGTTCTAGAACACATTATGCCCTACAGGTGGTTCAGGAGGCATCTTGGGATCACATAGCCATAAAGAGGTCACTGTGATTCCCCATGCATAAGCAAAGATTGGTAACCATGCATTTGCTCAGTGGATTTGGGGAAGGTGACACATTGACACTGAGACTCATAGATAGCAGCCTGTCCTCTAAGGGGCCGTGACAAGCTTCAGACAAGAGAACAACTCAGAGCCAGAAGACCTACTCAGGCTGGGCTGCCCAGTCTTCAGGCCACTAAGGAAAGACAGGGACTCCTATGACAAGGAAGAACAGTCATTGTTTTCAGTGAATGTGAGGATCCTCTGTAACTGACCTCCAGGCTTCATGACCTCAGCCCTTGCCACCACATGCTGCTGCCTCAAATTCATACACTGTGTGTCCCTTGCTTTTTGCTGTCTATCATCACTAGGAAAAGCAGGCACCTTGGTGTAGGTAAACTTTCAAAGAAGGAGCAGGCAGGTACAAAGACAACTTGTTTGGGTTATGAACAACCTGAAGAAAAACAAAAGCCCAAGACATGTCAGTCTGGAAACACTTGGCACCTGAAAGAGCAGACAAGGCTATGACAGAGGAGAAAAGGTCCAGCACCGACTCCAAGAAATCGGGTTCGGTCTTCTCACTGGCTCTTGAGACTGCAAACTTCCCTCTACCCCCAAGAGAAAGGCACAGCAAAGCTAAGTGGAGAGCCATCCGAGCCGATGCAGTAGCTGACAGGATCCCTTGATTTAAGATTTCCTAAAACTGTCCACCTTTTACATAACGTGATGGAACAAACGCCAGGCAGGCCTTTAATTAAGATGTCTGCTAAGGCGGCTGGACAGTGGTAGTGCAGGCCAGCACTTGGTAGGCAGAGGCAGATGGATCTCTGTGAGTTTGAGGCCAAACTACAAAGAGAGTTCCGGGACAGCCAGGGCTGTTACATGGAGAAACCCCACTCAAAAAATAAACAAACAAAGAACAAAAACAAGGTGTCTGTTAAGGCTCTGGCAAGCATGTTCATTCAGTAAAAGAAAAGAACTTTCATCCAGAGCTTTTTCTATGTGTTATAATAAACAAGAAAACAAATAAAGTTGATGTGCTGTTTTATATGTACAAGGCCCAGGGTACTTTTCAAAAAGCAAAATTATTCCATTTGTTCTAAGTAGGAACCTGAGTGAAGTCTCTTCTAGTGTGAAGAGAACAGGACAGAAGGTGGTTAACATTTCTCAGGTTGCACATTGATCAGGAAAGTCTGAACTAGACCACAAATTTTACTGCTCCCCAAACTCACGCTCTATTTCTGTTCTTTCCATGAGGTTTCATGACCTAAACTTCCTTCCTGGGGAAGAAGGAAGAGAGACAATTTAGGAAGCTATCTAACCATTTCCTATTCTCCAGCCCTACTCCCCTCTCCCTTGGAGTCTTATTCTGTTAAGAGATTCCCAAAACTGAGCAGCCTGCCTCTGCCAGAGGAATCCATTTCGGTCTTAGTCCAGACTGGTCGGAAATCCTATTATCTCACTAGTGGAAAGGCCTTTAGAGGTAATTAATCCAACCGCCCTGCAGAAGCCCCATTACCTTGCACGCTCTCCTTGACCTAACCTCACCTACCTAAGCTCACAGTTGCAAGTACTCACAATCCTTTACCAGCTAGCTACTGTGGCCTCAGGAAGGAACAGGCTAGGAACAAATCTGCCCCTTGAAAGAGTGAATGAAGTAGAGGTGACGCTTCCTGTGCCATCAGGACACAGGAGGTGCCTGGACTTTAGACATGGCAGCATTCCCAGACTGTTCCCATTCACATCTCCTGCACAGTAACAGCAAGGCACTAAGTGAGAAAGGAGATAGAAACCTTACCTTTCTTTTCTTCTCTCAGTTGCTCTCCTGAAGATCATCAAGCCCCCCACTTAACACTCCATTTCCAAAACTGAGAACCAGATCCACCAAAGCACAGCTTCTCTCCACTTATCCAGGTCCAAAGTCCATGGCTGGGTGGACCCTGTCAGGGAGGAGTCTGGGGGGGAAGGGGTGTGTCCAGGCCCCTCCCCCCCCACTGCTGACTTCAGTGTCCCTCCCAGGCGTCTATTACATCCCTTCATCCAGCTGGCTTCTAAAGCTCAGAGGCTTGCAGTAGGCAGACTCCAGGTATTATGCCATCTCTTGCTCAGGCAAGAGCAATCATCCACTGATCCACTTGTGTTCTGCTGGGGCTCAGAAGAAACAGGCTTTGACATCGACATGGCCCGGGAGGCTGATTTCTGTGTAAACCTGTGGAACATTTAAACATTATGACACTATGCCCACATGGATTTCTGAGACCTCCATATTTACTACAGTCCTTTACTGTGTTCAACCAACAAACTCTCTTCCTTAACTACTCCACACAATTTGTATAAAAAGTACACACTTCATGCAATACTGTATCCCCATCATTCTGAGCATACGTGTATGTGGACTTGTGCGATACCTATTTTCAGTACAGAAATGTAAAGAAAAGTACTGTCAGTCTTCTAAAAAAATACAGAAAATAAGGTCCTACTCTCTAAAACACCATCTACTAATCCTCTCTCAAGCTTCTCCGGGTGTTAAGTGTTTTAATCTCCTACCTCCTGTCAATTGGACTAAATCCTACCCAGACCTGGATGCTGGCACCTTCCACAGGCATCCCCTGCAACCCTCACCTCCCCCACCGTTTCCAAATCTATGCTAAGGATGTATTTCCCAATTTCTTTCAAACTCCTTCCCAGGGCCCCCTCCCGAGAGCACTCTCCTGGAATATTTGAGGCCTGAGTCCTGCTTGCAGTAGCCCCAATTTTTCAGTTTGGGAGCCCTCCTTGGTGCCCCTTTCCTCTGTGAGTTTTACACACTGACACACACACACACACACACACACACACACACACACTCACACACGCACCCCTCTTCCTGTAGGGGCGTGGCGGACACAGAACACCCCCCGCCAAGAACTTAACTCCTCCCACCCTTCCTTCCGAACCCCGCGCACAGCGTTCTCACAGCACAGTGACACTGAGACCCTCCCAGTACTCCGATCCCTCGCTTCCGCCGCGCCTCAGACTCCGTCCCTCACTGCCCCGGCTCCTTACCTGGACCCCGCCCGTCCGATCCCGGCTGGGAGCCTCGGCCCTCCCAGCTCCAGCTCCAGGCCGGGGCCGGGTCCCCGCCGCCAGCAGGCCCCACCCCCTCGACCCCCTGCGGCCCGGCCCTCCCCTCGCGTTCCTGTCCCCCTCCCGCCAGGCACCGCAGCCACTTCCGCCCGTCCTCCGGAAGTAGGAACCGGGCAACCGCTGGCTCCTCGCATCCCGTCCAATCGCCTGGCCCTTGCCCGCCCATCACCACCGCCGCCACGGGAGCACGGGAGGTGGGTCTGCACCCTGGAGCCAGTCTACAGTGTTCGCGAGGTGGAGGACGAGGCGTTGCAGAAGCCCCCTGTGAGGACGTCGCCGGGGACTCGGGGCGGGAGCCGTACACCGGGGGGCGGGGCGGAGGCTGAGGCCTAGAGCCGGAGCGTGCGTCACTCTGAGCGGCGCGGGAAGTAGCGCGCATGCGCCGCCGGTCTTCGGCCGGTCGCCCGAGTTGACGCTCCGACTGCCCGAGGGTTGGGGGGGGGGGGGGACTTGGGCGGGAAGTGGAGGCGGAACCTGCGCAAGCTGCACTACCTCTATCCCACCGCCGGAAGGTCGCCTAGCAACGGCCTGGTTGAAGTGGCTTCTGAGGCCAGGGGCCTTTTGAGGTCTTTTAGGCACTCTTTATGCCAAGAGCCAGTAATCGGCAAGGCCTGTTATAGCAGGCCTGTTACTGAGCTCAGTTTCCTGAGTAGCAACGCCAGAGAAAGTTTTTATTTCATTCCTCGCTATGTTCCACTGCATCGCTGAATGAGGTAGGATCTTCCTAAAAAGGATGGAGAGCGCCCCGTTACCGTTTACTGAACATGCACTGTGCTGAGCTCTTTATAACTAGTAACTGAATAGCCACAGGTCAAAACCCCAGGTATGAGCTCCTAGAGAGACGGAAGTGTAACGGGAGTTGCAGAGATGTTAGAGCCTACTCAAATCTTACAGTTGGGGGAACAGACCAAATCTATGACACTCGGTCACGTGGTCTTGCCCTAGGAAATGCCACCTGTTTTAAAAGAACCCATACTTGAGGCTGGAAATAGGGCTCAGCGGTTAAGAATGCGTGCTACTCTTACAGAGGACCTGAATTCAGTTTTCAGCACCCACATGGTGGCTTAAAATCATCTGTGACTCCATTTTCAGGGGATCGCGTACCCTCTTCTGGCCTTTGGGCCGCCAGGCATACAGACAGTGCACTTCTGTGCATTCAGACAGAACATTCACACACATAAAATAAAAATCGTTTTAAATAAACTATTCTTTGAAGCACCATACTTAAAAGTTCCAAATTGCACTGTTTATTTTCCTGGATACAAAATACCCTTTAAATCTAAGGATTCTGTTTTTTATGTTATTCCAGTTCTGCCAGCAAACAACTGTGATACTTGGAAAAGTTGCGAGAACTTTCTGTACCTCAGTTTTCTCATACCTACAATAAGAATAATGAAAGTCCTTCACTTTATTCAATTAGTGTGCGCATTAAATGAATTAATGCATAAGTGCTTCAAACTTCCTAGTCTGTGTACTAAAGGCTCAAAATGTCTGTTACCATTCTTATGATTTATTCACAAACATTTTCATGCAGTAATTTTGGTTTTTTTAAATTTTTGATACAGAGTCTCTCTGTGTAGTCCTGACTGTTCTGGAACTCACTGTGTAAAACAGGCTGTCCTCGAACTCACAGAGATCCTCCTGCCTCTGCCTCCTGAGTGCTGGGACTAAAGGTGTGTGCCACCACACCTGGCCTCCATGCTTTTAGACTATCTTTTATTTATTCTTGGATAGTTTCATACATGTATACAAAGTATCTTGATCATACCCACCCCCAGCTCTTACTGCCTATGCTTTCTGAGCACCCTTCGACATGTCCTTCTACCACCTCCATTGTCTTTCTGTTTGTCTGTCTGTTTGTAACTCACTGGGTCCAGTAATGCTGTTATGTTTGCTGATTTTGTTGGCTTGATCATGGGCAGGTGACTAAGTACACTCAAATCCAATCAGAAAGTGGTTGGTTACCCCCTTAGCCTTCATGTCACTGTTGAACCAGTGAGCATAATTATCAGACTGTGTTTCAGAAGGAAACAGTCCTAAAAAAAAGGATGTTTTGACTTCTTATGTACAGTCTCCTTTTCCTGGTTATCCTGTCTTCCTGAGGCTCCTTTTTCCATTACCTCTCTGCATGAGTAATTCCTTAGTCATTGCACCATTTTCTAAAATCAGTCCCCTTCCGCAACTCCAGGTGGTGAGGATAGAATTTTCTAGAATATTAAAGACTAAATTTTCCCCTTTCCTTTTTTCATGTTCTATGTATCTTTTTAAAAATGTTAATTTAGCCAGCATTTGCACTTCTGATGTAAGACAACAGAGAATGTGGCAAACCCAGATTTCACAAGAGCTAAGGTGTAAAGCTAGAGATTGTGTAGATGCTCTGAAAAATCTGAGTAAAATCAGAATATTGAGCAACAACGTGGGAATTCCTTGATAGGATTAAGGCTATATTAAGTGCACTTAGAAAGTGAAGCATGTTGTCTCATTTCACCATAAAAGGTTTATTTACTCTTTCATGTCTTATCCTGACTTATTTAATCCTTGAATTGTGATTTTAATTAATTTTACTTTGGACATTTCTTTCTAGTTAAATTATGTACTTCTTAAGAGTAGACATCCTATTTTCCTTAAAACCCTCATCTATATGTTTGTTCAATTTCATGAATATTTGGTAGACTCAGGTGCTGTCATCTTTTTATGTAGGCTCAAGAGATTGGGTTTCTCCTTCACCAAACTAGGACACAGAAACCTATCTTTTACCTTGCCAGGTATTCATAAGGAACAGGTGGGACCATGAATGTGGAGACCCTTTTAAAACTGGAGCTTACAAATCTGTAGTACTTGGGAGTTACCAGACAGTAATCATAAGTGCCAAGGAGCTGTGTATACTGAGCTTTCAGGGGAAGCACTTGCAGTGCCCTTCCCACATGCAAACAGAGAGAGACTTGAGCATCTGCTCCCTATTGTCTATGACCTGTCCTCTTTTCTTGGAGTTCTTAAAATACAACTGATATAATAGAGAAATCCAAGTTGTTCTTAAATGTATTTCTTTACCCATATGAGTTATGGCTTTTCCCAGGCCTGTTTAAGTGTGAATTTGCATTTGTCCATTTCTTTTTTTTTTTGTTTTTGTTTGTTTGTTTGTTTGTTTGTTTTTTGAGACAGGGTTTCTCCGTGTAGCTTTGCGCCTTTCCTGGAACTCACTTGGTAGCCCAGGCTGGCCTCGAACTCACAGAGATCTGCCTGGCTCTACCTCCCGAGTGCTGAGATTAAAGGAATGTGCCACCACTGCCTGGCGCATTTGTCCATTTCTGTGCTTCCTTAGACTGGCCCAAATAGGAGTTGCCCTAGTAATACACTATGAGTAATTGAAGCCTTGAGTCAAGAGACTGAGTTTTCCAATACTGGGTTTCTACTTGTGTGGGAGAAGGGTACAAAGAGGGAAGGTAGGAGAGGGAACCGATCAAGGAACAGCATCAGAAATAGACACATGCTTTGCCTTCAGGACATTTTAGGTCACATGAAGTGGGGAAACATTCTCAGAACTTGACAAAATAAAAATGAAAAAAGTGCTAATGTAAAGAAGTGTGTAGAGAGGTATAAAATTAATTAGACTATCTTTTGGTGTAGAGAGCCGTGCACGGCCACGCCTCAAAGATGGCACCGGTGTCCAGCTTCTGCCTTCCCGATGGCAGGTGTTCTCTGGGATAAACAACTCCTTATTTGGCTTGGGCATGGAATCTGTCTTGCTTGCGTATGTCTTACCCTATCGGCATTGTCCACGTGGCACTACGGGGTTGGTTGCCCAGTGGCTATAAAGGGCGTGGGCTGGCTTTCCCGGGAGTCAGAAGATGGCTTTCCCCGGGGTCAGAAGATTGTTCAAGGTTCCTGAATTAACTGCTTGGAGAAGAGCCTGGTGTTGCATCTTCCTTGCTGGTCGAGGCGGACGCGACAAGTGGTGGCCCGTACAGGGAACCCTTTAAGGCTCAGAACTCTTCACAGTCAGGGCATTGCACTGGTAAGTCCCCAGGTAAAGTGGGGATTCGCGACAAAAGCGGGAAAATTAAGTAGAGCTGCAACAAAAGCGGACGGGAAAATTAAAGAGTAGCGCCGCGACAAAAGTGGACGGGAAAATTAAAACGTAGAGCCGCGACAAAAGCGGACGGGAAAATTAAAGAAAGTGAAAGCAGGTGAAGGCAAAAGTGCTGCTAGTATCATGGGTGCAACTTCTTCGCACCCAATTTTTCTGGCTCTTAACGAGCTGCTCCTTTCAAAGAAATTAGAGATTAAGAAGAGTACTTTAGAAAGATTTCTAGAGGAATGTGATGTCGTGGCACCCTGGTTTGCAGTTTCCGGAAGCCTCACGGTAGCTTCCTGGGAAAAGTTGGGCCGTGATCTAGACTTCGCTGCAGAACAAGGGACGCTTAAACATGGGGTTAGACCAGTTTGGAAATTAGTGAGAGGGTGTCTCGAAGACCAGTGCTGCAGCAATGCAGTAGAGAATGGGCAGGCAGCCTTAGAAATGTTGCAGGAGGAAAGATCAGAAAAGACCATGTCTGCTAAAGCAGTGTCTACCAGAAGTAAAACAAAAAAGGGGGAAGAAAAAACAAGGTTATATCCTGACCTTTCAGACCTAGAGCGTTCCGAGTCCCCTATCTCTTCCCCTGATTCTGATGATGTAGAGTCATTATGTGAAACCTTGCAGAGCGTGAGAATAAGAAAGAAAAGGGGTAGAAATAAAGGAGAAAGAGAAAGAATTAAAGGATGTGAGTCTGAGTGTGGAGCCGCTCCCTCAGCTCCTCCACCGTATCTGGAATCTGCCTCCATGTCTAGAGTTGTCTCTATGGGGAATTCTTTTAACCCGGAGGTTTGGAGACAGGTTAGAACTGAAATGCAGCTAGGTTGCCCAGTGTTTCTCAAGGCCCAGACTCAACAGAGATAACATGAACCTTTGGATTTTAAGGTCATCAAGTCTCTAGCGGAATCTGTCCGGACGTATGGCATCACAGCCTCATATACTGTTGCTCAAGTGGAGGCTCTGCACAGATTTTGCATGACTCCATCCGATTGGATGAATCTTGCTCGAGCATGTCTCAGCGCAGGGCAGTATTTAGACTGGAAGGCATTTTTGATAGAATTTGCCAGTGAACAAGCTGCAATTAACAGAGCTGCAGGTGGAGGTCAAGCAGCTTGGGATGTAGACATGCTGCTGGGACAAGGCCGATTTGCCAATCAACAAAATGGATATCCACAGCAGGTTTATGACCAGATAAATCAACTAACAACAAGGGCATGGAAGTCCCTACCTAATAAAGGGGAAGTGAGCGGCAACCTTACTAAGATCCTTCAGGGACCTATGGAACCTTTTTCAGATTTTGTGGCCCGCATGGTCGAGGCTGCAGGCAGAATCTTTGGGGACCCAGATGCCGCGATGCCGCTTATAGAGCAGCTAGTTTATGAACAATGTACCAAAGAATGCAAGGCTGCGATCACCCCTTATAAGAACAAAGGTCTAGAAGTATGGATGAAAGTGTGCAGAGAATTAGGGGGACCTCTAACTAATGCAGGCGTTGTGGCTGCAGTTATGCAACTTAGTAACAAGAAAGGAGGGAACACTGGGGCATGTTTTCGGTGTGGAAAAATCGGTCATCTCAAACGTAGCTGCCCTCAAGGAGAAGGTAACCAAGGAATAGGGAGGAGCCAACGCCCTACACAACCTGGACTTTCTCCTAGGTGTAAAAAGGGGAAGCATTGGGCGAATGAGTGTAGGTCAGTCAAGGACATAAATGGTCAGCCTATAACAACGGGCAATCTTTCAAAAAACGGACAGCGGGGCCCTCGGCCTCAGGGCCCGCAAATATATGGGGCAGTGGAGAATCAGGAGCAAGGCGGAAACCCGGAGCAGTGGCCAACCCTCTGTCATCCGAGGAACCGCGGAGAGCCACTACAGGCTCAGCAGGGTTGGACGTCCGTGCCACCACCAGACTCGTACTGACCACAGATGGGAGCACAATTAGTGGAGTCTGATTTTAAAGTCCCTTTGAAGCTGGGCACGGTGGGTTTATTGATTGGAAGATCCTCCACCACCATAAAAGGTCTTAAAGTACACCCAGGAGTGGTTGATACTGATTATACTGGGATCATGAAAATTATGGTTGAGTCTCCAAAAGGAATTACTGCCATTTCACCAGGTGATAGGATTGCACAACTAGTTTTATTACCCAGTTTACAAGAGTCCTATCCAGCTGCTGATCGAAACAGAGGAAATAAAGGCTTCGGATCCACGGGGACAGATTTAACTTTTCTGTCCCTTGATTTAGATCAAAGACCCACCTTGCAATTAACTATTAATGGTACCAAGATAACAGGACTCCTGGACACTGGTGCAGATCGGAGCATCATTGCCCGTAAAGACTGGCCCCGTGGGTGGCCAGTGCAAGTCTCCTCTCAAACTCTACAAGGGCTAGGATATACCAATTCACCAGATATTAGTGCAGGACAATTACAGTGGCAGGATGAAGGGGGCCATTCGGGTGTTATGCAACCCTACGTCCTCGAGCTTCCAGTGTCCCTTTGGGGAAGGGATCTTATGCAATCTATGGGATTTAAATTGAGTAACGAATATTCTAAGGAGTCTCAGGAAATTATGATGAAGATGGGATGTCATCCTAGGTTTGGTTTGGGGAAGTTTCTCCAAGGCAGAAAAGATCCAGTTCAGGTGCAGAGTAGACCACCTAGGCAGGGATTGGGTTTTTCATAGGGGCCACTGAGGAAGGAATTCCTATTTCCTGGACAACAGAGGACCCAGTATGGGTACCTCAGTGGCCACTTTCCTCTGAAAAGTTATCAGCGGCAGAAGAGCTAGTAAAAGAACAGCTTGAGGCTGGACATATACGACCCTCTGTGTCCCCTTGGAATACACCTATATTTGTCATTAGAAAAAAATCTGGAAAGTGGCAATTGTTACATGACCTTAGGGCTATTAATAATCAGATGCAGGTCATGGGTCCAGTGCAGCGAGGGCTACCGCTTCTATCGGCTCTGCCAGCCTCCTGGCATATTATTGCCGTGGATATAAAGGATTATTTCTTTTTCCATTCCCTTATTTCAAGATGATAGTGCCAGATTCGCCTTTACTCTCTCTTCCATCAATCATGAGGAACCTGATAAAAGATATGAGTGTGTGGTCTTGCCTCAAAATACGTGCATGTCTCTGTGGATACTTGTTCAGGGATTATACATGCCTCACCTATGACTGGGGAGAAAGCATTGAATGTCATTTCCCACTGTCTGGAAGCCTGGGCAGCATGGGGAAAACCTCAGCAATTAAAGACTGATAATGGGCCGGCGTACACAGGACAGAAATTTAATTCCTTCTGTCAGCGCATGGATGTGCAGTTAACGCACGGTCTCCCTTATAATCCTCAAGGCCAAGGCATTGTGGAGTGTGCGCATCGGTCCCTTAAAGAAATTCTTCAAAAACAAAAAGGGGGAATAGGCCATGACCGAACCCCAAGAGAAAGACTCTCTCTGGCATTATTCACCTTAAATTTTTTGAATTTGGATGCCTCGGGAAGTTCATCAGCAGATAGGCATCATAATCCACACAGCCCTATGAAGGGCATGGTGAAGTGGAAAGATATCCTCACGGGTAGCTGGCATGGCCCCAATCCTATGCTGACATGGGCACGAGGTTCTGTTTGTGTTTTCCCACAGGACCGGCTAGACCCTATCTGGGTACCTGAACGATTGGTGCGACGGGCCCCTCAGACGGAGAGACGTGATGACACCCCAGAAGCTGATGTGCCTGATCCTGATAGCCCTGATTCTGACAATCGTGCCAGTGGGAGCAGCTGAGGATCGACTCACAAGCGGAACCTGGTCGGTGGAGTTTGATAACCTGACCCAGATCCTGCGCAATGAGATCATTGCGGTCAACTCCACCCGTGTGCACCTGGCCTCTGCTGCAGAAATGATGTCTTGGCTGCGAAATTCTATCACCTTTTTAAAGGAGAGGGCGGGATTAGGTGCCCTGGCAGGCCTACTGGTACTTGTCTCCCTGATGTGCCTGTGGTGCATTGTCCGTTTAAGGGTTTCTCAGCAGCGTAATGCAGCCATGATTATCCAAGCCTTTACAGCCATAGAGGCTGGACAGTCTCCCCAGGCCTGGCTGGCCGCATTAAAAGCTTGATCGCGCAGGATGCAAGGCTAGTGCACTGCACTTGGGTCTAGCTGTATTGCAAAACCCAAGAAGAACAAGTCTGATTGCATGTGGGTTGATACCCTAATTCCCACCTCTGCAAAAAAGGGTATCGGACGGGTCAAGTGTTCTCTGGGTGGATGACACCTGGACTAACACCAGTACAATGTCCAAGTTGTATTTTGGCAGAGATTAGACCTCTGCTCTTGCCTGCTGCTTAAAACAATAAAGGGGGAACTGTAGAGAGCCGTGCACGGCCACGCCTCAAAGATGGCACCGGCGTCCGGCTTCCGCCTTCCCGATGGCAGGTGTTCTCTGGGATAAACAACTCCTTATTTGGCTTGGGCGTGGAATCTGTCTTGCTTGCGTATGTCTTACCCTATCGGCATTGTCCACGTGGCACTACGGGGTTGGTTGCCCAGTGGCTATAAAGGGCGTGGGCTGGCTTTCCCTGGGGTCAGAAGATTGTTCAAGGTTCCTGAATTAACTGCTTGGAGAAGAGCCTGGTGTTGCATCTTCCTTGCTGGTCGAGGCGGACGCGACATCTTGGGACAAGGTTCATCACCAACAGTCTTGAAGGAAAGTACCTTAGGTTTGAGAGAAATACACCCTTTACTTCAAGTACAGCCAAACTCAAGTGGGGTAGTTGTGCTTCTTAAATTCTGAGCTGGTTCTGATTCTTAAATTCAAGAGCTTGGTTCTGATCCTAATTCCAGTGACCAATGCATCATGTACCCTGACCAGATCACTTCCCTCTGCCTCTAAAACATTTGAAATTTGGAGAAAACAATGTCAACAAACTTAAAACCTTGTAATCCTTTATCTATTTTGAAGTGCTTTTTTAAAGCCAAAATAACCATTTTTACTTGTTGAAAGTATTCAAGTGGTTAGTGTTTTAAGTAATAATATTTATTAAGCATATAGAGAAATACATCTGCTCATCTTCCCCGGACACTCTCTGATTTTTGCTAGGTATGTGATACATTATTTTCTGTCTTTACTCTGAGACAAATATGTTGTTACTATATCATCCCTCTCGGAGCAAACACTAAGCTCCTTCAGAACAATGGGAAGATGTAAGTTAAAAGTGCCTCAGCAGTCCAGTTTGAGGGGTGGGAAGACCACAGGCTTCATAAAAGTCCAGTCGACCACAGTACCTGCTACTTCACGGTGTTCTCACTGATAAGTTGGTGTGTGTCTGTGACCACCGATTTATTCCTAGGAACTATTAAAGAGCTGACTTTTTCAGATGATCTACCCTACTAAAAAAGTCAGACTATTTGAGGTCATGATTGGGCTTATTAGGCTTCCTTGCTTGCATTCTGACATGCTTTTTTGAGTGGTTGAAAAACATCTGGGATTTCAGTAGAGAACTGGGTAATATATCAATCAAATGGATCAGAGTTCCTCAGCTGCAACTGCAGGGGAATACTAGGGGCGGCCGGGGGGTGGGGAGAGCTTGCCTTTTCTGCAGTTTGTCAATATTGGGAACAGCTCAGGCAGTTCATCTCAGGGAAGAGACCAGAGACTGTTGGCCTGAGGCCCCCAAAGACTTGAGACCCAGCTCCTTTCAGCTTAGATATTCCTTCTCCTCCATTTCCTGAAGTTATCAGACTTTATTACCAACTTAAATGTCATTCTCCTTGAAACTTCACTGTGTAGTTGATACTTCTTTCTTGCCTGTATTGAAATTTACTCTAAATAGTGGTCCCTGGTCTAATCCCTTTCTGCATTCCTCAGATCCACAATACCCACAGTAATAGCCAGAGAAGGGTTGGAAAAGTGAGCAGCCCTCGGTACATAGGAGACTGGAGCAGTCATAGAAGAAACTTGGGTTCTAGTGATTCACTGTGTGGAAATCTTCCCATGAAGAGGCTATGGAATCAAAACTAAGAAAGAAGAGTAGAAAAGAGAGTTATAGAATGCTGATGATTTAACTTGGCGAGTTATAAGACAAGAAATGGGATATCTAGGAAGAGGCCAGACTTAAAGTATGAGTGAGTTTTACTCCTTCCAATAAAAAGAAAATTGCTACAGAATAGAATGCAGCCAAGAAAATGTTAGAAAATTGGTTGCACATTGAAGAAATCTGAACCAAGAGGACCAAATTTGTGGAACAATGGAAAACAGAAAAGAGGTATTCCAAGAACAAAACAACATACATCATCCCATTAAAAAGTAAGGAAATTTGAGGAGTCTATCCTGCACAGGAGGAGCTATGGCAAAGAGTGCAAGAATAGGCTTGAGTTCAAATGCTACCATACTACAAAGCTTTGTACCCATGGACAGACTCTTACCCCTCTTCCTCTGTGCCCAGGTTTCCTCACTTGCCGAATAGAAAAGTAGCCTGTGTGTAATTCTATGAAAATGAGGAGAGTTGTGATGCTGTGTTATACAAAATGAAAGCTCTAGTTAGCCATTTATTTGAAAGAAGGAAATTTTAGGATAACCTTATTAAATTCTAGGATCCCACAGATGAGCAAATTGTCATTGCAGGATATTTATTATTATTATTTGCTTTGTTTTTTTGTTTATTTTTGAGACAGGGTTTCTCTGTGTAACAGCTCTGGCTGTCCTGGAACTCACTTTGTAAACTCAATTTACTATCTACTTTTCTTTCTGGATCACTCTTAGATGGCTTTTGTGTGTTTAAATCTTGTCTTCCAATATGGTTTTAGATATAGGAACTTGTGTTTTGGTCTTGTGTGCCTCTTAACAAGGTGAAATACATAGAGCTTAGTAAATGGTTATTGGTTTGTTTGTTTTTTAATAAAGAATTATAAATTTATCTGATAGCAACAGTTTCTACATCAGCAGCTAACAATATTCAGTTTTTTGTCTTTGTTTTTAATGCCACTTTGGAAGACCTAAGTGGCCTGTAGAAGGTCCCAATAAGTTAACAAAAGGAACAATTTAGGAAAGGAGTATTTTGAGCCACTCTTGATTGCCTTCTTCAGCTGGGGTAAAGAGAAGGGTAAAGAGTGCCTGGTGCCCTGTGGTGGTTTTGCATTAAGTCAGAGACTGGAAGATGAGAGTCTAATGTTCACCTCAACACATACCTACCATGAAGTGCAAATTTCAGTTCCACTTCTATAAAATGAAGATCTTAAGAAAGGAGCTACCTTACATTGCTGTTGAGAACATCATAGAAAATGCAAGTGCAAAGTAGCATAGATATGAGTTCTGGCCATAATATCTTTTTTTGCATGAGATAAATCACACTGTCTCAATATGAAAGTGTATACATTTGGACATCAGCCTTTAGGGTGACAGAGCCTGGAAGTATTTGTAGGTCCCCTAGTGCCATTGTGTTGCATCATGTTAAATGCACTGCTTGTTGGAGCTTCATTTCTAGGATCCAGATCTATCACATAATGCTAAGGCAAGGTAAAGAGTGCTGATTTCAGGGTGCTCCTAACTCCTGGACTTCCTGTGGCAACTCAAAGTGAGATCTAGTTTTAGTAGGAGGTCAGTCTTACTGATCATTCCATCTTCCAGTCTACTGCATTGGACATTGAGGGTGGTTATCTTCCAAAATCTTTCTACTAGTTTGATTTCATGACATAAATAGCTCCTGGTTTTTTTTTTTCTCCACTGCTTCAAAAACATTTTTTTATCTTTGTAAGTACACATAAATTTTACCATCTTAGCCTTTTAAAATGCAGTTAAATAGTCCAAGTGCATTCATATTTCTATGTAACTAATCTTCAGAACTTATTTCATCCTCCAAAACTAAAATTATGTGCCCACTAAGCAGTAACTCCCCATTTCCCTTTACTGATAGACCCTAGCGAACAGCTGCCATTCACTTTATGTCCATGGAAATGACTGCTCTATGCACCTCATTTTAGTGAGATGATATGTTCGTGACTTTGAATTATCATATGTATGTTGAAGACCTCACATCTTTATCCTCTGCCCAGATGTCCCTACTGAAATCCAGGCTCACTGGAAGGCCTTCTGGCTACTCTTTCCAGTGTATCTCCCTAAAAAAAGAAACTCTCCCTGCCAAAACCTCCTTTGTCCTTATCTGATATGTTCCTTTTCAGATATGTTCCATATCTGAGCAAAGCTCATCTGTAGAGGCTCTCCAGGAGAGGAGAAGGATTGCTATATCCTACAGGGAGACCATCTTCCATCACACCAGATATACCTTGACTTTCCCGAAGAATCAGGATACGTTTCTCTGCTGAAGTAGTTCCAGGTCTGACTCTCCCGAGAAGTCAGAAAAATTTCCCTTCCAGAGTTGGGCTGCTGCTTTGCAGTTCCAGCTGTCAGAGCTGTGCTAAATAGCTCCAGGTGTCCGGGACACCTTCAGGGCAGAACTGTTGTTCTGAGCAGCTCAAGGTGTCCGGGATACCTCGCCCTCCAGGGCTGAACTGTCTCTTTGCAGTTCAGCCATCAGAGCTGTCCTAAGCAGCTCAAGGTGTTGCCTGACCCCTCACCCAGGTAGTCAGGACACTTTTCCCAGAGTTGCAAAACTCATGTTTCTGTACCAAAATCCGGGACCAAACCCAGAGTGGTTGCAACCAATTTACTTACATTTTTGGTGCTGAAACCTGGGACACCAAACCCACAGAGTTGCAAAACTCACATTTTGCAACCAGTTTATTTACACAGAGACTAAGGGACTATTGCTTTTCTGTCTCCCTAGTATCATTTTACTGTGTATTTTATAATTTTACCATTTCTTCCTAGGGGATTACTTTCTTCACACTTATTCCTAGTTCTTTAAGTGGCCTTCTAACTTAGACTTGTATTATGTAAGTAATCCATAGTTCTCAGCCTTTCAGAAAATCCTGAACGACTTTGCACACATTAATTTCTAATTCACAGGATTCCTACAACTGTTATGATTGCTCTTCTAGCCCATCCTTATTCCTTTCTAATACCTGATAATGTGCAGAACCACTCTCTACCAAGGACTCCCAGTGGCCACAGTAGGCTGAGACTCAGGCAAGTGACCGTCATTATCCTTTGTCCTTCCCCTCTTTCCACCCCACCTCCATTCTCTGGGGATTCTTACTCTTGGTGCAGAACCAGGTTGGTCCTAGTTCTTTCCCAGTACTCCTTTCAGCCTTCCCAGCTAGTCTAACTCCGTTCATTTGTGACACCTGCTGACCCACAGAAACACTCTGCCAGGGACCCCACAGCCACCACACTTAGGATCCAGAGTGGACAGCAGCAGCAAAAACAGAATACCCACCCATCAAAGAGGAGACCAGATACCTATGCAAAGAAACACATCAATCATCCTAACTCCAGATGCCTAGAGCCAAGACAGTAAACCTCCTCTAGAAGCTAGCAACCTTATTGTAGTAGGTCCTGAAGAAAGCAGATTAGCTGAAGCACAGGACTTCAGCATAGTTATGAATATGCTTGAGGACCATGAAGAGGATATGATTAAATGTTTTAATGAAGGCTGTGAAACAAAAGAGTTGAATGAAATGGTGAAAAAATTTCAAGACAGGAAAGTAGAATTTAAGAGAGAAATAAAAATCACTAAAGAAAACCCACACCAAAGTTAAACTGAAAGTAAGTACTCAAGATGTCAAACAAACCTTAGAGTTAAGCTTCAACAACAAATTAAGAAATGGAAGAGAGAATTTCAGGTCTTGGCAAGAAGTTAGAGGAAATGGAAGTTAAGTTAAAGAAAATGTTAATCTTAAAAGCAGATAAGATGTTAGAAGACATGGAAAGTCAATTAAAGAAAATACTAAATTTATGAATGAATCCAGGCACAAAGCAACTCTGATTAAGAGATGAGGAAACTACTTCATCAGAGTCCCATAGCTAGGACTTACTCGGTCTGCTTCAAGACCCTCTGTATGACTGATAACCAGAATGCTGCTTTTCACAATTATATATCGAACTGCAGACTGATAGATGGGCCTTGGAAAACTGGCCTAGCCTGTAGGGTCAGAAATCCCCCCAAACAAACAAACAAAAACATATTTCATCATTCCTTGCATAAGTTTTCAAAAAAATGCCACATGGTAACACTGCTGGTTAGTTCTTTGTCAACTTGACACAACCTAGGGTCATCTGGGAAAAAGAAACCTCAATTCTCAATTGAGAGAATGTCCCCATCATGCTGGCTTATAGACAAACCTGTAGGCATTTTCTTGATTGGTGATTGATGTGGGAGGACCCAGCCCACTGGGGATGGTACCACCTCCAAACAGGTGGTTTTGGGGTTGTATTAGCAGACTGAGCAAGTCAGTAAGTTATATTTCTTCATGGCTTCTGTTTCAGTTCCTGCCTGGATAAGCTGAAATAAACCTTTTTCTCTCCAAGTTTCTTTTGGTCATGCTGTTTATCACGGCAATAAAAAGAAAACTACAATTCAATCTGGGCATGGTGGCCCACACCTTTAAACCCAACACTCAGGAGGCGGAGGCAGGTGGGTCTCTGTGAGTTTGAGGCCAGTCTAGTCGACAGAATGGATTCCAGGACAACCAGAGCTACACAGAGAAACACTGTCTCCAAAAAACTAGAGCAGTGAGTGTCTAGAGTAGAATTAAGTTACAAAGTGCAGGAGAAGGGCCAGCAGGGAAGGCTGGGAGAAGAAAATGGTCCTGATTCCTAGATAAACATGATGCTCATTACCAACTTCCATCTTATCTCTTGAGATGATAGACCTTTGGCAAGGTTGTCATTACACCTGCCAAGGTTGGATCTGCAGTAGCAGATCAGGATCACAGAAAGCATAGTAGCCCTGGCTTTCCCTAGTCATTTGTCAGAAACAGTAACTGTTGATGTTCTGAGTTACACGGGATGGTCAAACGAAGGGTGCTCCAGGATGTGACTCAGGCTCTGTGGCAGCAGAGAGGAAATCTTGATGAGCTGAACCTTGAACTGCTATGCAGGAGCATATCTATTGATTGTTACACAAAAGTTGTTTTTTGGGGTAAAACAAGTTCCTCATACCAAAGCCCCTAATCTAATCTGTTTTGAGAAAGAAAACATCACACCCCTGCAACTTTACTCCTTATTATGCAGTATTTGCAGTATTCAAAATGCAAGACATTTAAGTGTGCCAGGACCATCTTGTGACCAAAGTCAGTCAAGGCTGTAAGCTTCTTCAGAAAAACAACTATAGATAACAGAAAACAATCACTATTTCCTACAATGATTTCTTCAAGGTCAAAGCACTAGAAAACAACCATTCTAATGTTTGCCCTAGATACAATGATTCTACTAGAATTCCACTACAAGTAACACTGTTCACAAGTCCCGGTGCATTAACATTCCTTGACCTTTCAGCCATGCTGTCTATGAAGCCATGGAGAGCTTGGTAGGGGACTTCATTGTAATCCCCCTCCCACACCTTTTTTCCCTTCTCCTCACTTGATTTCATAAGATTGTACCACTCACAGTGTATTAGCATATAAACTATCTGTTCCAGTCTCTATTTCTAGGCAAATGCACTTTTCCATGGAAACATGGCAGTTACTTCCCCAACCAAATCTTAATCATTACATATTCCTTGTGGAAGATTCCAATTTATTGGCTTCCTTGCATGGTGCCTATGAAGTGTTCTTAGAAAAACTATTAAGCCCCAATCTAATCAAACTTTAGACTTCATTTGAAAGGTGATACTACTTAAAACATATATAACACTGGAAAGCAATAGATAAGCCAAGAATATGCAGCCTCCTTCCAGTGAGCTATCCAGATTCTTCATGTCTGTGCCATATGTCAAAACCATATAGAAGGAAATGTGGGGGAGATTTTCCAGATTAACCTCCAGATGGAACCCTCAAACCTTGGTTGCATCATAGATTA